TTGATTTAATTTAATAATTACAGGTCATTTGGTGTTCTTCTTTGGGAAATAGCAACATTAGCTGAACAACCATATCAGGGATATGGTAATGAAGAAGTTGTACATTATGTTCGATATGGAAATATTACTCTTGAACGTCCACAAAATTGTCCTGAAATATTGTAAATAAAAAAAAATTAAAATTAAAATATTTATTTATTTTTTTCTGTTTTCATAAAAAAATTTTTAGACATAAATTAATGCGTGCTTGTTGGACATTTTCACCTGGTGATCGTATATCATTCCGATCAATTGTTGATGAATTAGTTCCATATGAAAATGAAGATTTTCATACACATGCATATTATCATACACAACCAAATATAACACGACAAGTTAGTTTAGTTGATAGTAGTAATAATGATGATGATAATGATAATGATGATGAAGAAGATCTTTTATTAATGAGTAAAATTGATGGTGATGGTGATAATAATGAACATCATGTGTAATCAAAACGATTTATTTCAAAAATCTTTATTTGTATTTGTATTTGCTTTTTTTGTTTGTGTTTTTGAATGAATCTCAAAATCATATTTTTTTTTTTTTATTATTGTTATTTTATAAATATATATATATATATAAAATACTGTACAGAATTTCAATATAAACTGTATTTTGTTTTACAGATGATTTTTTGAAAAAAAAAGAAAATGGTGAACAGAGAAGAATCTTATGAAATACTTAATCGTTATGGATTTTTTGTTCCATCAGGAGAACCTAAGTGAGATGATAAAGAATGAAAAATTGTTCTTTTTTTTTAATAAATTTTTGTTTTTACAGTATTGACGAAACATTAGATGGAACAATAGTTCGTCGTCGAGAACAGAAATGGCTTGATATGTTTTCACAATGGCCTTTATTTATAGGATCACGTTTTGATAAAGTTAAAAAACGTTGTCGAAAAGGTATACCAGCATCTGTACGTGGACAAGCATGGTATCATTTATCAGCTGCTAAATATCGACGAGAAAATGAAGATCGAAGTTGTTCAACAGGAAGTTTATTTTCATATTATTTAACACAAAATCCTGATCCACGTGTAGTTGATGATATAAAAAAAGATTTATCAAGATCATTTCCTGATCATGAAATGTTTAGAGGTGACGGATGCGGGTAAAATGTTTTTTTTTTTCGTTTGTTTATTATTTATAAAACAACAACAAAAAAAAAACTATATATATTATTTCATTAGACAAGAAAGTTTATATGATGTACTTAAAGCATATGCAATACATGATCCTGATGTTGGTTATTGTCAAGCTCAAGCACCTATTGCAGCTATTTTATTAATGCATCTACCAGCTGAACAAGCATTTTGGGTATTTGTACAAATTAATGAAGAATATGTTAAAGGATATTTTAGTGATGGATTAACAGCAATTAAAGAAGATGCATTAGCAACAGAAATACTTATAAAACGTGTTTCACCAAAAGGTTATCGTTTACTTGTATGTATCTATTTGTTTCATGAGATTTTGAAAATAGACTGCAAACTAGAACCCGTCAGGTCTTAATGTAGACAGAAGAACTTTAGCTTTTATAAATTGACATTTATTCTAATTCTATGTAAAGTCTTGATTGGTATTGAACTGAGAAATGTGGATTTTATTGTTGATCAAAACTATTTGTCAAACGATCTTATCTATATCTTGAAAAATGTTTTGCAAAACATGCATGAGTCATATATTTCTTTTGTTCTGCGTTACAAGCACAACTCAATTGTTTATAGTAACCATATGAGAGTCGAACGGTTATTGTTGCTGTAATACTATACTATTCAATGTATTCAATAATAATAATTCTAATATAAACGGAGAAATAAAACTAAATTTCTTATTGATGTTATTAATTCAAAAACAAGATATAATGTTTTCATTATTGTATATACGAGATATATCAAAATTATAGACTCTCCTGTGCTATGTACAAAAAAACTAATAATTGTATCTTCAAAAGAGATCTAATTTTTTTAATTCATATGATCGTTAAATATATGAAGCTATGTAGCACATAGGCATGTCTTTGTGCTACATAGATTCATGTATCTAACGAACATATGAATTAAACAATTAGATTTCTTTTGAAGATACCCTATTCATTTTTTTTGTGCATAGCACAGGGAGGTCTACAATTTTGATATACCCTGTATGATTTGTAGAATGGAAGATAATTAATTTTAATTCTTTGATGAGAATATATTGTCATCAGTATCTGAGATCTTTAATCATACATATAAATTTCAACAAAATTCTGAATCATTCTATTTTATTCTCGATATAAATTCATTTTATTAAACTCTTCTAGATTAAATCTAATACAAAGAAAAAATATCATTTCATCATATCACACTGAAAAATCTATGTATTTTTGTTTTATCTTTTAGCGTAACCTTGATGTTGATCCAATATTATATACCGTTGATTGGTATATGACATTATTTTCACGAACTTATCGTGCACCACAGTTATATCGTTTATGGGATATGTTTTTTTGTGAAGGTGTTAAAGTATTATTTCGTTTAGCTCTTGTTATTGTATGTGAAGCTCTGGATGATGGACCATCTGATATTGTAACACAAGCACATAAATGTGATAATCCTATGGATCTTGTTACACTTATAAAACAAACTGCTAAACATATACCATTTAGTGTATTATTATCTAAAATGGATAAACTTCCATTATCTGATATTAATCTTGCTCAAGCATGTAAACAGGCGCGACAACAACTAAGTTTAGATATGAAAACAATGCAAAATCGAAAGCAATAATTATTATCTTCATCTAATGAACAGCACAAAAAAAAATTTTTATAATAGAAAGCTATTTTATTTGGTGTCTTTATTGTATATATGCATTGTTTTGCAAATTTTTATGTTTTTTTTTTAAATTAATACAAATTTCTAACCATTCAAAAACAAAATAATATGCGATACAAAAGTCTTTGAAAAAATGTCAAATTCTGTTATATCAGATTGACGACTTCTAAACTAATCAAACTTTGTTTTTTTTTTTTTATTAAAAAGAACAAAATCTGAACTACAAATTTTGTATGAGATATATTTTTCTGGAAAGAATATGATGAGAAGGAAAAGTCTAAAATCAAACACCTTTAAAAAAATTTCGTGTAACTTTACTATCGAGCAGTGTCTGACTTAGGTTACGAAAAAATTTTTTGATTTCGGGATAGATCTGTGATGATGAAAGAAAGAAAAGAGTATTGAGAAATTGATCTTCTCAAGAGAATGAGAAAAATGATCGATATCAATAGAAGTTAAATTTACTCTTGGTTTTTGTAAGAAATACTAAGTGAGCTGGTCATTTTGCAACGGTAAAAAAAAACTATTTTTTGAATTAGTTTCTCTGCTCAATTTCTATGATTTGAAATATTCCGAATAAATAATGCAAAAAGAATTCAGTTCATAAGGGTGTACTTTATAAAAATTCCATTTTTCAAACTTGTTTTGATTAAAAAGTCAGGAATATAATATTGATATCCATTGAGTTTTTGATGCGCTATGTTGTAGTGTATCTTTGTTCCAATTTGATCCATTCAGGTAGCTCAAAAGAATTCAGAAATATAGACTTTTCAGATTGGAAAAAATTTTTTTTTAGTGATGTTTGATTTTGGACTTTTTTAGTCAATGCCAATTCATTTTCGAATTTCGACTTGCAACATTGTATAAAGATAAATATTAACAAGAATAGTTTATTGCGAAAGGTTCAAGTCTCGTGATTTGTTCTTTTACTGGAACAAGAACATCAAATCTACTGGTGTAAAAGACAAACTTTTATTATAGCTGTATATTATATTAGCAACAACGAAAATATCTGAAACTTTCACAATAAACTATAAATTTTCTAATGTTCCAGAAGGAGATCACAAAATGATCTAAAGAAATAAGTGTCAAAATGCAATATCTCAGCAGCAATAAGCTAAGGACACTCGAACTCTTCTTAGGATATTTATAGCTCATTAGGCTCTATATGAAGCACATAGTGTAGATTCAAAACTGATTAATTCGTTGCAGGACTTCTCTCGTTCGCTATTGATCGGAGAATAAATATTGTGATAGTCACTTTCTTGTTCTCATCACTGGATATAACTAATTGTTGACTGTCAATCAGATTTGTTTTTCTAGCAACTTTATTAAGTAGGCCTAGGACAGTGTCATATCAGTTCCGATCTTCGGAACTGTTCCAACAGTCCTTTGATAGGAACAAGTTAGCTCAACCAGCTCTTTGATAGGAACTGGTCTGTCCAAAACTGTTTTTTCATAAGAGCGGGTGTGGGTGCGGGGTATGGTTGTGAGTGTTAGTCGAGAGAAAATAGACACACATCTATCACACCCACACCCCACCGATCCACACTCTCACCCATACCCACATTCAGTTCTCAAAAAAAGAACTGGTCACTTTAGCCAGTTCTCGAAATGGAACTGGTCAACTCATCCAGTTCTTGGAAAATATACAGTTCATAGAACTGAGATCTGCTCTAGGTCTATTATTAAGAGATTTATATGAATTTCGTTTTTTTTTTGGATAATAAGATCAGCGTTTGAATTTCCTTCGTGCAGAAAATCATTAATTTCTTCTGTAACTGATTTTTTGTGTTGAGTTATCAAGTTTTGCTTTTTTTGGAATGAATGACTCGAGTCAACGGCACCCAACTTTTGAATTCGAGTCATAGTTTGGACTTGTTCAACCCTGAGCAGATACATACGAGTATAATAATCATAATCTATTCTTATTGTGAAGATAAATTATTCTCATCTTAATATTGAACTCCATAAAACTATTTTTATCAAAATAAAAAATGAATAAAGAAGATTACTACTATTTATATACATATATAGATTAAGTTGCCTTCGTTTTTATTGATAACGGATAATTGTTTAATCTTAATGACGTTTTGTCATTAAAATAAGGTGATAATGAATCATTTCATTGTCTTAATGATCACCATTTTAATGAAGTTATTCGTGCTAAAGCAATAATTATTGTTGGTACATGTTTTTGTTTATGATTAAATATTATATAAATCAACGGATTAAGACCACTTTGTGCTAAACATATTGTTTGTAAAACTCCATCAAGCCATGGTGGTATACGTAAACGACGATCCGAATAAATTTCAATTAAAGTTAAAACTATATAAGGTGTCCAACAAACGACAAATACAATAATAATAGTCATAGCTAATTTAACCGTTTTAAATTTAGCTAGAGATGTTGCCGATGATGTAAGGAATGTTGTTGTGGTTTGACCATGAAATTTTTGCATCCGAATTTCAGTTGACGATATAACAACACATATTATTTTTATATACCATGTTGTCATACAAAAAGCTGGTATAACAAGTAGATAACAAGCAAATATTGTAAAATAAACTCGACGTTGCCATTCAGCTGTATAACCTGTACTACTACAACGATATTTTATTAAACTTCCTTTTATTAAACTTTGTTTGAATATAAATAATTGTGGTATAGCTGTTATTAATGAACTTAACCAACATAGAATTATAATACGACGTACACGACGAAGTGCTGTACGTGATCGCAATGGACAACAGACTGCTTCATATCTTAATGCAAAAAAAAAAAAAAAACTTTACTAGTTATTATCAGTTCCTAATAAAAACAACTTAAACTACATATCTAAATTACAGTTGATTTTAGAGTCTTCAAAACTGTGTTTTATCCAGAGAGGTACCCGAGGGAGTGGCTTTCCTTCGAGAGTCGAGTTCATTCCCCAGGAGTTCGGCGTATATGCCACGTGAAGTACATGTTTAGCTCCTTCGAGACTATTGACTGGCTCCTCAGAGGAAAAGTCCTGATAGGACACTACTTCAAAAGCAGCAACCAAGCGACATATTAATCATTTATCGATTCCAGGCGGTATATATGAAGAAGATGAATTATATTAATAGGTATATGCATTATTAATGTCAATAAAATATTTTCATCATTTTTCTATTTTTCTTTATTTTTATGTAAATAAATTCTTTTTATCATTTATTACTTTTTCTGATAAATATTTCAAGAAAAAAAACAGAATCAGGCTGAATATAAGAATCTAGCCTCATCAAGCAAGATTTAGTCTATATGATTCTTGCTAGAAAGTTAAGATATGGTTTTTTTTTAGACAAAAATCTAGGAAAAATGTATTCAAGAAAGTCGATTAGTGATTATAAAGAATGTGATGATTTATGATAAGTAATTATTTAGCTATTACAACATGAGTAATTGAAATAGTGCTCTTTTACGAATAATGAAAGAACATTATCTAAAAAAAAGTTCTATATAATAGACAATAACATTAGATAAAAGCATTAAGGATGCCAATATGTAGTACTATATTCCTGAAAAATTTTTCTCCGGTCTGTTTGACTTTATGATTCTTTTTTTTTTAAAAACAATGAGTAATATAATTCTATGCATTTAAATCAAGTTCAGGAAGTTCGTTGAATAGAAAATATAATGACTGTTTTTATATGAAGAAAAGCTTGTTTAATTTTTACCGTTTGTTCAATGACAAATAAATGAATTTCCTATTTGATAATATTCTTTCTCAATAGGTGCTAATTTGCTTCATACAAATTTTAAAAACAGGATACATTTCACATCTGTTTATGAATTCTTTCAATATTAAAAAAAAATCCTATTCACTAAATTCTTTCTTACCGATCATAAGTCATTGCGACGTTAATAAATGTTGTTGAAGCAAGTGTAACAACTTGAATATAAAGTGTTAATTTACAAGCAGCATTTCCTAAAATCCATTCTTGATCAAAAATTATAAGAAATAATTCTGATGTCATTGTACATAAACATATTGTTAAATCTCCAATAGCTAAATTCAATATAAATAAATGTAAACGTGTATGATGTCGACGACGTCGACAAAATAATTCAAATATAATATAACTGTTACCAATTAAAGTTACACACATTATAGTTGTTAATATAAATATACGAATTAGTTTATTTGGTGGCCATTGATGATAAGACATAATTGAATTCGATGAAAAATTATTCATGATAAACTAAAACATAAAACAGAAAAACACCAACAAACAGAAAACTAAATGAACACTTCTAGAAGACAA